TTGGACTCGCGCCCTCTGGCCTTACTGTAGATGTCTCACCGCCAGGCCTCCCTGGCCTGTCAGTGGGCCACGGCTTGCCTGTCCATTGGTTTTCTCCCTGGACTTTCTAACCGAACGGACGGCCTTCCGCCGACACCCTGGACCCCCTTTTTAACAAGCAGCGCGGCCTTCCGCCGTCATCCTGGGTCCAGTGGCTTTGTGGGACGCGTCTTGGGTACTAGGCGTTTTCGTCCCTCAAGCTCTGACGACTCGGTTGGGAACGCTGAGACTTAGATGTGCGCGCTCCTCGGCGTCTGCCGTACACGTGCACTTCGAGGCCCTTCCATTCGTCGGATCTGGGGCTGGCGCAGCTCAGTTGTGGAAGGCACTCTCGTCATCATTCCAATATGGTTGCGCCTTCTCGCGTCGCGGCTCGGTCGCCGTCAGCTTTCCTGCTTCACTTTCGGTTTCAGCCAGCCTGTTGAACCCGTCAGGTTCCCTGGATCGGTGTCCCCGGGTTCTCTCAATGCTGGACGGCTTTCCGTCGTGACCCTGGATCAGTGGCTCTGAGGGACTTGATGGGCACTCGTTTCGCGTCCGCTCCCAACTTGTCCTGGACAGCACTGTGACCCTGTGATGTGCACACGCCGCGTTCGACTGTATGGCGTGCATCACGCCCCCTTTACCCGCTGGGTCTGGGCTGATGCATCGTGGTGTGGAGTTTTCTCGGCAACTCGTTCACACTTTGATGCCGCTGGCGTCGCGGCTCGTTGTCGCTGTGGTGTCCCGCCGGACCTTCTTCCACCGCCTGTACTTCCTGTTCGGCTTGGTCGACGTCCTTGGGTACGTTCCTTCGTTCGCACCTGGACATCGGGAGCGTCCGCGCCATTTTGGCTGCGTTTGGTCTCTACGGTGCTACCTCAGGCCCGTCGGACCGCTGCATGCCCGTTCAGGGGCTGCTTCTGGCTCCTGGATTGCTTCGGCCTTGCCGCCCTGGACGTGTCGTGAGCCGCCCGATCCGCGGCCCCGCGCGCGTTAGTTAATTTAGTCGCGTCCGCGGCCCGTTCGCGACCTCCCGCCGCTGGCGCTTCCGCCTGCGGCTGTGAAAAAAAAATCCCCCCAGCCCATCCAGAAACGATGCCTAGAGGAATTGCCTCGATCAGGGGAGTGGGCAGCACATAGAGGAAGCCATTATGAGACATCTTGGGATATCTTGAGCCATCTTGAGAGTCATTTTGGGCTCCCCCAGGCGCTCGTGGAGTCATCTTAATCAGTGCCCCCCCCCCCAAAGAGGCCAACATGGGGCTAAAACCTTCGTAAAATCAATTGCTTGGCATTCTCGCCGAGGCCTCTTGGAGCATCTTGGGTGCCTCTGGGGGGCCTCTTGGGGGTCTCTTGGGGGCCTCTTGGGGGCATCCTGGGGGCCTCTTGGGGGCCTCTTGGGGCTATCTTGGGGCCATCTTGGGACCTCTTGGAGCCTCCTGGGCGCTTCTTGGGGCCATCTTGGAGGAGATCGATCACCGGAGGGGGGGTACGAATTAGGGTCCCCCCTCCAGGAGGCCAACATGGGGCCAAAACCTTAGTACAATCAGCGATTTTGGCTTCCTCACCGAGGCCAATTTGAAAGCTCCGACGACTCGCGATACCCCCTGTCCAGGCTGGTGGGGAGGGGGTAGGGGGAGGGGTAAACCCTTCCCCGAAGGGGAAGAAGGAGGGGTGGAAGAGGAAACTTTCTAAACCACCGACCTCCAGAGGGCTGGTGGGATTCTCACCGGCTATTTACACGGATGGAGTGCACATCGTTTCCACCATGTGGTTTTCGCTTTAGCGCCGCCCGGGTTCGCCTTGTCAGTTCCCAACAGTTGCGCATTTGGAAGGCGTGCCGTTTGCAAGACGTGGCTCTCATCTTTTGTGCACCACAACGACAGTTCGGGTGTTGGGCGGCACATGTGCGGGCTTTCGATTTAGCGTTGGCCAAGTCTGTGATTTAAAGTTCGCAGCAATTGCACGGATGGACGTTTTGATTTTTCACGGATGGTTTATCGTTTTCATGTTCTGTCAATCTGTCGAGCAGAGATTAACAGTGTGTTCAGCAGTCTTGTGGATGAAGGGCGGCTCTATTTCAGATCGGAGCTCTCGCTTGAGTTATGAAGTGTGAGCATGGGCGACAATGCGGATGGGTAGTGTCCTCTTTAATTTGGCGCTATCGCTGAACAGTTCCTTGAACTGTTCTGATCATGAGCATTCTTAGTTCTGACAGCCACAAGGATGGAAGGCTATACCTTTTCAGAACAGGGCTCTCACCAGCATGAAACGCCTGTGGGGTGCTTGTCTTGTGCGGAAGCGCTTCCCGTAGTGCATGTAGAGCGTTATGAGGGGCCTTCGGATGGGACGGCGTACTACTGCATCATTGATGCAATTATGGGCTTGCCTCGGTGTTCCTCCTCCGCCGCCTCCTCCTCCGCTGCCTCCTCCTCCTCCGCCTCCTCCCCCCTCCCCCTCCTCCTCCTCCCTCCTCCTCCTCCATCCTCCTCCTCCTCCTCCTCCTCCCCCTCCCTCTCCTCCTCCCTCCTCCTCCTCCTCCTCCCCTCCTCCTCCTCCATCCCTCCTCCTCCTCCTCCTCCTCCTCCTCCTCCTCCTCCTCCTCCTCCTCCTCCTCCTCCTCCCTCCTCTCCTCCTCCTCCTCCTCCTCCTCCTCCTCCTCCTCCTCCTCCTCCTTCCTCCTCCTCCTCCTCCTCCTCCTCCTCCTGCCGCCGCAAGCGCACACAGGCGCGTCCACTCCAGCCGCGCACACGCGCGTAGCGCGCCCCGCCGCGGGGGCGGGCCGTACCCGGCGCCAAGGGCAGCCAGGGTACGCAGCAACGGCTCATGTAGTCATGTAGACCACGACCTCCTCCGCCGTACCCCTTTGGGGTAGGTGAGCCACCGGCGACGAGGGAGGGGGGCCGCACGTCGTCATAGCGTCGGAGGGCGTCGACAGGGGGAGAAGAGCGTCGCCGTGGCCTCGCGGGGAGGAGTGCAACCGTTGACGTCGTAGGTCACTCCACCCCCCGTGAAAGGTAGCCTCAGAGTACCTTGAGGCTTGCAGTGCCTATGATGCCGGCAACGTACATCGTGTATTTAAAAAAGGTGAAGGAGTACAGGAAGTAGTTAGTTCCAGCGTCTTTCTCTTTGTAATGCAAATCTCCAGATATGACTTTATGGGGTGATTTATGTTCGGATCTGGAACGCGTTGGAGCATACGGAGGATGTCTTTGCATGTGCGGGAGAACAACTCATAGGCGTCTACGGCCTGGCCTGCACCAGCGTACCTGTCTCCTTCCGTATCGGTGGCCTGGAAAGATTTGAGGCGAGTGCTTGCAGGCCCAGCCGGTAGCCTATTGCGAAGTTCTGCCTCGCGCCCTCGTAGCCCTGCGAGTTCTAGCTCTCGGACGTGGAGCTCTGCTCGCGCCTCCGGGCAGTTGGGGGCTGTTCGTGCGGCCCCCCACCGCGCAAGCTCCCCCTAGTAGCCGTCGCAGCTCTGTCTGCAGCCGTCGTGGCTCTGCTGGCGGCCTGCGCCGCTCGGCTTGTGGTCCTCGCAGCTCTGCTGGTGGCCGTCGCAGCGCTGCTCGCAGTCCGCGTGGCCCAGCCTGTGGTCTGCGCAGCTCTCCTGGTGGCTGGCGTAGCTCTGCTCTGGTGACCGTCGTAGCTCTGCTCGTGGTCCGCGTTGCTCTGCTCGCGGTCCGCGTAGCTCTGCTGGTGGCCGTCGCAGCTCTGCTTGTGGCGGTCGTAGTCCGGCTTGTGGCCCTCGTCGCTCTGCTGGTGGCCGTCGTAGGTTTGCTGGTGGCCGTCGGAGCGCTGCCTGTGGTCCGCGTAGCTCTGCTGGTGGACGTCGTAGCTCTGCTGGTGGCCGTCGTAGCGTTGCTGGTAGTCCGTGGCGGGCAGCACCGGGTGGAGCACGAGCCTGGATTGCCCGAGGTCGTACTGAATGGTGTCGTAATCCTCGCTGTCGTTGTAATAGCAAGCATCGGGAAAGCTAATTGGTACTAATTCGGCACAGTACTTGCACAATACTTGTTGAACTTGAATTTGCTGCTGGCGGCCACACCACTCGTGCTCCAACATTGTCGTATGAGGATGGCCAGATCCTTCGATGTGGAGTTGCCCCTGCGGGCCGCGTAGGCCAACCTACGGTAGGCAGCTGCCTCAAGATTGCGGTCTCCGTGGTCTCGAGGAACTCTCGGATGGAATTGGTAATCTCGTAGCTGATTCATCTTGTTGCCGCACCTGAGTACAACTGTAGTAACAGAACACCCCAGGGCCTGACCAAACCTTGAAGGTGTACCCGCGGTTAACGATGTCCCGGGGTTTCTTGTAAAGCCTGGTAGGGATGATCAAATACAAGGGGTATTTGATGATCAGAGTGTTCTAGATCAGGTACAGCGAGTTCGGAGTGGAGAAGTGCAGGGATTTGCACCTCTTCCTCGCGGGCGTATGGCGTCGCGCCGCTGGGCGCTGCCCAGCCAGGGCGGGGGGGGGCGCGTCCCTCCCGGGTGCCTCGGCCAAACGCCTCCTCCTCCTCCTCCTCTTCCTGCGACCGAGTGGGACTTCATGAGGCCGCCTAGTCGGGTAGCCGTGTCAAGCGACTTCCACTAGCTCGACGTCGGCCCCCGCGACACCGAGGACGAGTGACCCTGAGGCCCCTGGCACGTAGAAGAAACACAGACCTGCCCAAGCCACGAGCGCCTCCTCCTCCTCCTCCTCCTCCTCCTCCTCCTCCTGCGATTCCTCGTAACAGTCGCCGTGCGCCCGCCCGAGGTGGTCCCCACCAGGCGGCCGAAGGAGAGCGGAGGAGGCCGACGAGGAGCGGAGAACGGGGACGACGCGGCAGCGGAGACCCGAGAAAAGGGAGGGGCAGGAAGGGGGGAGGGAGCAGGGGAGAGGGAGGGGGGACAGCGAGAGGGGAAGCAGCACGAGAGAAGCGCACGACAGAGAAGGGCCTCGCAGCAGAGCGCCCCCCCCCCCCCACCCACACCGCGCAGGAGGCGCTCGTGCAGACGCGCCAGGGCCAGCCCGTCCCCGGCGCGGCCGCCCCGCCGCCGCCCCCGAAGGGCGAGGCCTACGAGAGCTCCGCCGGCGCGGGCGGGGTGCCGCCGCGCTCGGGGCCGGGCCGCGCCGCGCCGTCCCGCCGCCGCTTGGCGTCGCTCGTCGCTCGTGGCTGGCCGTCGTCCGTCGCTGGCCGCCGCCGCTCGTCGCTCTCTCGTCCCCAGAGGATCGGAGAGGTACTTTCGAAGGAGAGAGAACACCATCAGCATAAACTCTTGGCGCTCCGCGCGGCTTTCCGAGGAGGAGGAGGAGGAGGAGGAGGAGGAGGAGGAGGAGGGGAGGAGGAGGAGGAGGAGGAGGAGGAGGAGGAGGAGGAGGAGGGGAGGAGGAGGATGCAGGAGGAGGAGGAGGAGGAGGAGGCAGGGGGAGGGGGAGGGGGAGGGGGAGGGGGGAGGGGGAGAGAGGAGGAGGAGGAGGAGGAGGAGGAGGAGGAGTGAGGAGGAGGAGGAGGAGGAGGAAGAAGAAGAGGAATCATATTAATTTTAACACTATTAATAAGAAGACGAAGAAGACGCCTACGACGAATAATCATATTAATAATTACACTAATAAGAAGAAGACGAATAAGAATAATAATATGACGAATAAGAAGAACACTAACACGAATACCACTACTAATAATAATAATAATAATATCAAGACTGCAAATGCTACTACTAATAATAATGTTAATAGTAATAAGAAGAAGATTACTAATACTACTAATAAGACGAATACTGATACTAATAAGAAGAATAAGACGACTCATACGAATCACAATAACACTAAACATAAGACTAATAAGAAGACGAAGAGGATGAGGAGGAGGAGGAAGAGGATGAGGAGGGGGACTGAAAAAACGGGAGGAGGAGGGGGAGGGGGAGGGGAAGGAGGAGGAGGAGGAAGAGGAGGAGGAGGAGCAGGAGGAAGGAGGAGGAGGAGGAGGAGGAGGAGGAGCGAGGAGGGAGGAGGAGGAGGAGAAGGAGGAGGAGGAGGGAGAAGAGGAGGGGGACTGACGAACAAGGAAGGAGAGGAGAGGAGAAGGAGGAAAAAGGAGGGAGGAAGAGGAGGGGGCGCTGAAGAAGGAGGGGAGGTGGAGGAGGAGGAGGAGGAGAGGAAAAGGAGGAGGAGGAGGAGGAGGAAGCGAGGAGAGGAGGAGAGGAGGGGGAGGAGGTAGGAGGAGGGGGGCCGAAGAAAAGGAGGGGGAGGCATCTAGGCCTTCCAAACGGGGTCCGAGTAGATGGGGTCGGATAATTGCGCCGCCTCGCCGGATTGCATCGCCGAATGCGGCGCGATCTCCGACCCCATCTTACTCGGAGACCCCACCTAGGAGACCTCTAGAAGAGGAGGAGGAGGAGGAGGCGGAAGGAGGAGGAGGAGGAGGAGGAGGAGGAGGAGGAGGAGGAGGAGGGAGTGGACACCTTACGTCATGGAGTGCTAAACCTATGCGAGGAGTCTCGTGTCGGCGGCGAGCCCATGGGGTGAATGAGAGGGGGCGGGCCTTCCCAGCAGGCTCGTAAGGCCTCGGCCTTCTCAGAAGCTCTTCAAGCCTCCCCCGAAGACGCGGGACACCTACCCCAGAAGGCGCGAGGCCCTCTGAGAAGCCGTCGCCTGCTGAGAAGGCCTGCCTCCTCTCACCTTCCCCCCCCCCCCGCTCGCCGCCGACCGCGGGGCCGCGAGGGGGGGCGGAGGCCCCTGCTCGGCGCCGCAGTCCGTCGCCCTCGTGGCTCAGAGCGGCGCGCCATAGCGCGCGGCCCCTGAGGCCTCCGCCTCTCCTCCTCCTCCTCCTCCTCCTCCTCCTCCTCCTCCTCCTCCTCCTCCTCCTCCTCCTCCCCCTCCGTTGCCATTTTGGCTCCAGGTGGGGACAGGCCCCATTTGAGTGAGGCAGCCTCTTTTCCGAGGCTATCTTGGAGTCAAATCCAGGCGGACACTTTCCCCGCTGGCGCGCTCGTGCCCGAGCCGTCAGCCTTCTCTCGCAGCTCGCCGCAATGCCTGAAGTTGACGAGGGTATCGCGCAGATCCTCGAGCAGCTCGGGGGGATCACAGGACGACTGACCAGCATCGACTCCGCGCTCCCTGGCATCTGCGAGCTTCGCGTCTCGCTCACAGCCCAGGAGACCGCCATGCAAGGCATCAACAAGCGCATCGGCGTGCTTGAGGCGAACATTCGTGCCTCGTCTGAAGCTGGTGCTCTCGTTGCCCTTCGCACTGATCTAGAAAGCCGCATTGCTGCTATTGGGACATCATCGACTCAGAGCTCAGCAGGGGATTCCTCGTCAGGTCCGCCCGCGTCGCGTCGAAGGTTGCCGGCGCCACCGAGTCATGTTAATTCGCGTGTGGGAGATGAGCATGATCCGTGCAAGGTGTGCATTGGCGGCTTCGCGCGACCCATGCTAGCGACCACCATGGAGGCCATGGTCGCACACTACTCGGTCTTCTCCCTTCTCACATCCGTCAGGCTGGCGTGAGCATCGAAGCCCACAACCCCGCCAAGAGCTACTCCATCACGTTCAACAGCTCGCTCGACGCCTCCTCGTTCGTTGACCACGGCAGGGCCCACGGCATCCTGTGGCAGGACAGCGTGTCTGGCTCCCACATCCCCCTCCGCTGCAGGAAGGATGCTCCCAGCTCGGTCAGGCAGAAGAACCAAGTTCTAGGCAAACTTTGGCAGGCAGTCAATACCCACCTGCGACAAGCAGGCACATGGAATGAGCAGCGTTTCAAACTCGGAGTCAACGGCTTCAGGGGCATCCTCTTCATCGCCGTCGGTGAGGTCGTGCATGAGTTGTTCGCAGTCAAGGAAGGGAACTACGGCCAGTACGAGATCGTCCACTCCCCCGACGGCACCGCCAAGTTCGACATCTCGCCTGAACAGGCGGGCTCCATCATAGCAACAGGCAGTCAATACCCACCTGCGACAAGCAGGCACATGGAATGAGCAGCGTTTCAAACTCGGAGTCAACGGCTTCAGGGGCATCCTCTTCATCGCCGTCGGTGAGGTCGTGCATGAGTTGTTCGCAGTCAAGGAAGGGAACTACGGCCAGTACGAGATCGTCCACTCCCCCGACGGCACCGCCAAGTTCGACATCTCGCCTGAACAGGCGGGCTCCATCATAGCGACAGCCCGTGCCAGCTAGGGGTCGCCCGCGCCGCTTCGATCAGGGTCTACGTATTCGTCAGGGGCGCCTGGTATGAGGGTTCCATACCAGCCATGCATTTCCACCTTTGTGTCGAGCTCTTCCTCTTCCGCGTCTGCGGGCTCTTCCTCTACCTCGTCCTGGTCTTCCGCGCCGTCTGGGCCCATGAGATTCCCGTCTTCGGCTGGGCCTGAGTCTTTTTTCCGCCCTGTTCCTAGATCCTGGACACACTCACCATGCGTAGTCAAGGCACATCTCAGTTTTGTTTCCTGGAACGCTCGGTCGCTCTTCGGGGGGCTCACTACATGTCTGGATGCCGCCAGCAGAAAAATGTCACGCCTAGTAACCTACATCCAGAAATACCATGTCGTATGCATCCAGGAGGCCAGGGGCTCTTTTCTTGACCTTCAGAGAGTCTGCTCCGAAGTGTGCGACTCATGGGGTATTGGGTCTTTCTTCGAAGACAGGGCTGCTGGGGGCGCGATTATTTTTCTGCATCCGTCGCTCCGCGACGAGTTCAAGTACTGCCGATGCGCCGAATTAGTCGAGGGTCGCATCCACTCTCTCACTCTTGCTGGTCTCAGAGGCACTCTTCAGATCTCTGACGTCCATCTGGATCCTGCTCTCCCTCTCAGCGAACAGAAGCGTCAGCTCATGGTTCTCCGTCGTACTCGCCTGCCCGCCCAAGCTGCTGCAAGTTCTGTGCTCGGGGACTTCAATTTCCCCAGTCAAGGCGAAGGCTCGTTTCACGTCAGTGGTGTTGTCAACTATTCCAGCAATGATGCTGCTGCTTTCTTCTCCCAGCACTTCGATGACTTGCGCGAAGTTGAACAGGCGTCTTTCACGCGCAGGGCCACTCAGGAGGTCGATGGCGTTCAGAAGATTGTGGGCATGGGCCGTATCGACAGAATATACACAAACATATTCAGCGCTGTCTTCCTCGAGCTCCACCCCAAGTCTCTCGCCCTCGCCCCGATCTCGAAAGTAGGGCAGCTCTCTGTTCACGCGCCGGCGTGCCTCGCATTATCCCCGGGTGGCGAGATGGGCCTCAGAGTTCCTGCATGGGTCCCAAAGCACTCGCACTTCCCGATCTGTCCAGGAACTGCTCGACGCTGTTGGCCCGCTCGACATTGACCCCTCCATGCACCGCACTCAGATGAAGGATATACTTGTTCAGGCGAGTAAGAATGTCCTCCAGCATAGCATCGAGCAGGCCAACAAATCCGTCGAGGAAAAGATTGCCTGGTCTCTCGCAGCCCTGCGTGGCACTCTGCGAGGTATTTTGTGGCTTGTCGGCAAGGCCCTGCGCGCGTGCCCGCTGATCGCCAAGTTTCTCTGCCCGCAGTCTGGCCTTTGGATAGATATGCGCGCGTTTCACTCTCACCTGACTGATCTCAAGAATGAGCACATCCAGAAGCAGATGAGTGATGTTGAGCAGCAGCCGATATCCGACCAGCGCACGCAAGAAGCCATGGTAAAACTCTACATGTATCAGTCAGCGTGGGGACGGAAGCACCGCGGGATTTCTCTTACTGGCGTGTCCGACCCGACTGGCAAGGCCATAACCGAGCCAGAGCAGGTAGCGATGCGTCTTGCCGACCACTGGGGCAAGGTTCATCAAGGTATTCCTGGATCTGTCGAGGACCGACAACAGCTGCGTGAGTTTGTCCAGACCTGCCCCCCCCCAACATCTTCTGGAAGCTGGAGCGTCTGGAATTTGGGGAGTTGATTTCTCGCACTGGGGATTTGTGTCCTGGGCCCGACGGCGTACCCTATGCCTGCTATGCAAAAGGGGGCGCAGCAGTTGTCGACTCCTTGTGCGCTCTTTACTCCGCCCTGCTCGAGCAGAGATACCTCCCGCCCAAGTTTAATCGGGGCATGGCCGTTTTCCTTGCCAAGGGCAGCGACCCAGATGACACCTCCTCCCAGATCATACGTGAGCTTGAAACTACTAG